CCCGCCGCGAATGCGTACGCTTGAAAGGGATGGAACACAGCGCGGCTCGAGGGAGACAAGGTAAGTAAATGCTATGCGGCTTTCCCGAGTGTAGCTCGGGGTTACCGCTTATGAAATGGAAAAGTAACCCTGAGCTACACTCGGGAATACCGCCAGGGAGGTTAAAGTAGTATAAACTCTCAAAGCTTTGTTTTCAATAGTGAATCCAGATCAAGCAAATATACATTGGCCAGTAAATTATTTCTTGCACAAATAAAGTTTAGAATAGTTATAAGTTTTCAAACAGCTGGCTCCAACTCTCTCTGCTCACCTTTCCCGAACTTCCTGTCCAGTACAAAATCACAAAAGACAGAGCAATCTCCAGCAGCTCTCCATCTACTAGCGAGAGGAGGGGAAACAGGAGAGTGGCTTGCCTTGCTGTGCCTGTGCGTTTGTGGTGACACTCACAGCTTTCCAGTACACACAAGGGTGGCTCCATAGGATCCTGCAAGGGAAAGGAGCCACCCTAAAACAGGATATCGGGACCAGTGCTCAGGGAAGCAGCTGATTCTGCAGCAAGCTAGAATTTTTAAACTAGAATTATGGGGTGAGTGAAATATACTCATCCCCATAATTCAAGCCGATCTGTGACACTAAAGCTGTCGCAGGTCGGCTCTATTAATCGGGAAGCCAGCGAACACATACCGCCGATCAATGACTTCCCGATCTTCTCCCTGCAGAGAGCAGTGACTGTTAGTCACCGCTCCCACAGGGATTCCCTCCTCCCCTCTCTGTTTCTCCAGCGCTGACTGGAAGAACGGACGGGGGACGGGCAGAGCCAGCTGTCAATCAGCCAGCGGGGTGGATCTCGACAGTATTGTTGGAATCTGTCCCAGCTGTGGCACAACTCTGCTCTTTTAGCGTATAGCTGGCAATAGCCCTACCTTGAAGAGAACTATGGCCAAAAAGGGTTAGGCCATAGTTATCCTTTAACCACCTCCCAGCCGGCCGTTGTAATTAAATGGCCAGCTGGGAGCTTCCTGGATGTAACAGGCCGTCAAAGACGTCCTGTTGGCCCCGTGCTTGAGCGGAAAACTGCCAAAATTTAAAAACAGGCAGCGATACCTGTTTACATTTAAGCGATCCACCGGCTATAGAGTATAACATGACGGTTATGTGCGCCCCCCTCTGTCCACATCCCCCATCCCGCTGGTCCCGAGCTCCGCTGTGCCCAGTGCGAGCCCGGGACCAGCATGAGGGCTCTGTGACAGGAGCTCGGTACACGATGTCCCTCTGATCCCCTCTCCGGTGTCAGAATATATCACTTCCGCATTCTTGTGTCACTCTCCAGCTTCAGAAGCTGATGAAGCAGATCTCTTCTTCATCAGCTTCTTTGGGGGGTCCTTGGTGACGGTAAGGGTCTTGGAGACCCCTGATGTCTCCATAAAGAGGACCTGTCACATCCTCTTTGCCATCACATAGGGAGCTTCTTAGCCCCCTATGTGATAACAATAAAGTTAAGTTAAGTTGGGGAAAAATAGGAACAAAAAAATTTTAAAGTTGCAAATAAAAAAAATGAAGGTCACACATATAAAAGAATAAAAAGAAAGTCCCCACCTATACATACATGCGTGCAAACATGCGTTGGGTGCGCATATATGCAAAAAAGACGCTTGCGCCCGTTACGCCGCACATGTTATGTATCGCCACAAACATCGCAGTGAGAGCAATAATTCTAGGGCCATTAATCACTAATAAGACTAAACTGATGAGCGGTTAAAGCTTCGCCTATGGTCAATTTTGGGTATGGTAGTTTTTTGGGGATTTCATGGGTGCGCGCAATTTTAAGGCTTGACATGTTTGGTGTCTATTTACCCGACGTAATCTTGCAGAGGAACTGCTGCACTCCTTACCGAAACACCTATGTATAAAGAAGGGTGCTGTAGTAACCACGGATGGCGCAGTGCATCTTCAAATATATGATAAATGTCACCAGCACACCTATGTCTTGTGTCAATAATAATGTCATACTAAAACCTGATGAAGGGGACCCTGCATGGCCCCGAAATGTTTTGTGACAGTCTGCATCAGTAAAGAAGATGGATTATTGACACAAGACGTAGGTGCCTGGTGACATTTATCATATATGTACCCGACTTGACCCTGTCTTTTATATTTTTTTCCCAAAAATTGGGTAATAATGTATTACAACATAAAAAATTGTCAGTAATATTTCCTTAGTATAGTAAAAAATAAAGCTCTATCTGTCTTGAAAAAATGGTATAAAATTAATTCCAGTACAGCGTTGCATGACAGAATAAATGTCAGTCAAAGTACCGCAGCGCTGAATACTGAAAAATTATCTGGATAGTAAGGGGGTGTAAACACCTGGTCAGCAAATGGTTAAACATCAAGAAGCAGCATTAATTTTAAGTGATTTAATCAGCTTCAGTGTCACAGGTTGGCTTGAATTATGGGGATGAGTATATTTCACTCATCCCATAATTCTCCTTTAAATTTCTTCCCATGCACTTACAGTAATCATGGGTCCGAACAGCAGTCTCTAACTTAGCTCAGCTTCCCTGAACTTACTGTCCAGTACAAGATCACAAGGGACAGAGTGGTCTCCAGCAGCCATCCATTTACTAGCTCGGCAAAAGGAAGAGAGTGGAGAGGAGTGGCTTGCCTTGCTGTGTTTGTGGAGACACACATGGCTTACTAGCACCCACAAGTAGGGCTGCAACTAATTATTATTTTCATAATCAATTAGTCAATTAGTTGGCCGATTTTTTTTTTTTTTAATTTAAATTAATCGGATAAAAAAAAAATGCCATCCTTAATTTAAAATAAAATACACAAATGCAGTGTTACAAACACAACGTTTACTTTAGAATAAAACTGCATGCACAATTTTTTGTAATTGCACTGCACTGGAACGCACGACATTGCAGTACCGTGCCAGGGGTGTGGAAATTTAACCCCTTCGTGACTGATGACGTACAGTGTACGTCGCCAGCATCGGGGCTGTTTAAACAGACTCCCGGCGGCAAAAGCTCTGTTTAAACTTGTAAAGCCGACTGTCGGCTTTACAACAGAAGCGATTCTGGCGACTTACCTTTCGCCAGATCGCTTCTGTGTCCCGTAGAAGGGGCCGCCACTGTGCCTCCCGGGCTCCATTGCCCCTTCTACGGGCCCAGGACCGGCTTCCTTCGTGTCGGCGGGGAGCTGGGGAGGAGATCGACGAACTTCCGTTCATCGATCCCCTCCCCGTTCTATGGGACCGGGAGCGATGCAGATTGCATCACTTCCGGTCCCTGGGCTGTCAGCTATAAGCTATTGAAGTGCGATCTGCACAGCGCCGTGGTCTCAGAGAACACACAGAGAGCCGTAAAGCAGACGTTCTCCGGGAAGCTGTCAGCACGCAGCCCCAATCACAGGCACTGAGGCATTTCGTGATCTCTGCAGCTGCGGACTGGGAACATGTCTCAGTGCCTGTGATTGGCCCTGCGCGCTGACGGCTTCAGCGAGGCGTTTGCGAACACGCCCGAGCCTATCACTAATCATCATCAGCAGCTGCTTTGGAAAACAAGGGTAGCTAATAAAACTGGTGATTCTGTCTCTAACCTCAATTGCTGCAGAAAATTAGTTGCTCAGCAATTGAGCTACAGATTGCTGTTCCCATCACAAGTCTGTTAATCTGCCAAAAACATTTACATACTGCTTTTCTGCCTTTTAAATAAAGTCTCCACACGGCCCTGATGTAGGCTCCTTGGCATTCTTGCTCCTCTGCATTTGCTGTCACGGCGCACCATGCTGCTGAAGCTACAGCAACCTTCTGTAATTGCACCTTCCACATCAACTGCACCTGTGTCCCCATTTTGATTTTATGAATGGGCATTTTCTCTGTGCTTTTACTGTGTTTCCCTGAAAATAAGACCTACCCCCGAAAGTAAGACCTAGCACTATTTTTCAAGATTCCTGTAATATAAGACCTACCCCGAAAATAAGACCTAGTTTGGTGGTAGCATGTGAGGGGGAAATTGAAGAGCAGGAGATATGGTGTCAGCCTGCAGTGACATACTGTATTAAGGGGTTGACGGGGGACTCCCTCCCTCCAGCGCAGTGACAGTCCTCCTGAGGGCACTGCTTAATGTAATGGTACTGTAATGTGTACCGATAAATGGTACCGTACTTTACCGCGCTGTCCATTGTCTGATGCCCCCGCTGCTCCACCGCTGGTACCGCTGTCCCTGATGGCAAAAGAAGCCGGCGCTGTAGAAAGCAAGGCTGCAGCGGCAGAGGGAGCAGAGCTGCATTAGCCGATACTTCCTCTACAGCGCCGGTTGCTGTGACAGGCGGAGTGATACCAGATGCACTCCGCCTGTGAAAGTGAAAGAAAGGGATCAGCATTACCAATACTGACCATTTTGTTGCACAATAAAAAAAATAAGACATCCCCTGAAAATAAGACCTAGTGTGTTTTTTTGGGGGGCAAAAAAAATATAAGACTGTCTTATTTTTGGGGAAACTCGGTATGTACCATAACTAGATGTGTTGGCATGTAATGCTCTAGTCCTTGTTGGAAGCAAGCAGAGGAGGCTGGCTATGTTAGTTAGTTAGTTAGTTAAAAAAAAACATCTGGACGACTTGCGGTAATTGGCCGCAATTATTTTCGTTTGCGCTTGCGCAGTGTTAATCGTACAACTTTTGACGCACGGAAACGCCACCAACCATGCGAACATCGTACAATCGACCAAAGTTTTCAAACATGCATGACCGTCAAAAGTCGTACGATTGTACAGTACTACCGGTCGGGCACTCTATTCACACGTTACGATTGTCGTACGAAAAGTCGATCACATACGATTATTGTACGATAATCATAAGGTGTATGGGCACCTTTATGGGTGTGCTGTGCAATGCTGCTTTCAGAAGGGACACCGAAAGTTACAACTTTGGGTATTGAACATGATTATTATTTTAATATTTTGATAATTATGCATTGGTTAGCTATAGAGTTTTGCATATATTGACTAATCAAACCAAAGAAAAGAGCAACTAGATAATTGTGCTTATTTATTCATTCCTTTAAAAGTTCTTGAAGTCATGCTTGAATGGGGTTCCTTCTATCATAATGAGGAGGGTGAAGAGGACAATGAACAAGAAGATGGAGATGGGGAGCCTGGGGGTGAGATTTATCAATTGAATTTTTGTTTTGAAAGCAAATGTTTTCAATAAATGAGAGAGCTGATACATAACACCTTGTATACATCGCCTGAGTAAAATTACCTACAAAACTGCATGTCATTTTATTTTATCATTTCTTTAAATGGACCCATATTTTAGATGTTAGCGTAAACTCTAAAGCATATGAGAAGGCAAAACAAAAACATATGTAGCATATTTTGAGTGCATTCACATTTTCCCAGGTCTTATCCCTTTTAAGCATAATGCAACTACAGGATGATAACTGTTCATGTGCCAGAAATATAGTATGATCTTACCTTCCTTTATGACAACACTGCTCTGAATTCCTAAGCACGTGTTGTCAGTCCTTCCTAAATAATGTATTTTCTTTTCTCCATAATGCCCTTCTTGAGCACAGGAAGTTATCAAGCTTGCCAGGTGTTTTTTTGCACTTATTTAACAGATAAAACAAAACACTTTCAATTGTTTATACGTATATACGCAGACCTAAAGGGAACAAATAAGACAGGTTTGTTATGGTTTATAAACATTTTAAAGAGATACTGTCACTTTGCCTATTTCTGCTACCTTGCTCTATTCCTCTAACATAGGTTTCTGGGTGCTGGGGAGCATGTGATCTTTTCCATGTGGCAGCATAACAGTCAGGCAGCAGCAACCAGCATTTTTAGTATGAGGTCAGCAATGGCAGCCCTGAATCTTCCTCATGGCAGGTTTACTTTAAAGCAATGTTAAAGGCTATTTCCCTTCCAGACCATGTTTCATGTTACACCCATATTCAGGGTAGGTGCTGTTGATTCTTTAAAGTGGTATGCTTGTGCGTAGCTTAGCCTGCACAGCTGCGTCATCCATTTACAGATCCTTTGACCAGACCTGTAAATGGAGAAACTACAAGTCTCATTAGCCACCGCTGCAGAGGGATCTGTAGTTTGTGATAGAATCCAAGTGCGGTGATGTGACCGCACTTGTAGTCCATTCATTCTTCCTCCAGTCCATGTTACTGAATGTCCGTACCCTGATATGGACAGGTAAGGAGGGAGAATCTACAGAAGCATTGCACCTGCTATTACCCGCTATATACTGAGAGCGCCGCAGCTGGGACGGATCCTGACAATACTGTCGAGATCCACCCTGCTGGCTCATTGACAGGTGACTCTGCCTCACTAGCAGTGGAGCCAGCTGTGCCCACCCCCTCCCCCGTTCGTTCTTCCAGTCAGCACTGGAGGATCGGAGAGTATAGGGGGGAATCCTGTCAGCCACGGCTCTCTGCAGGGAGATGATCGGGAAGTGAGTGAGCGACGGCATGTGTTCGCTCACTTCCCGATCTCTAGAGCTGCTTTGTGATAGTTTAATTGTCACCCGTTGGCTCTAACTATGAGGATGAGTGTAAATCACTCACCTCATAGTTCTTCTCTAAATATTAATTTTGTGTACCAAAATAATTACTAATTCATAGGTATATACCGAGCATATGAATTAATTTGTTTGAAGCTTCTTAACTTACTAATCATTTCTTTTGTTATATATTCAGAGTTTCGCTTTGCTGGTAGAGATAGCATTATTTTCCTGGTTGATGCCTCAAAGTCAATGTTTGATAGTCTAAGTGATGATGACTTACCTCCTTTTGAAATAGCACTACAGGTAATATGTTTATTTTTTTGTTAAAGTTATCTATTTCTGCAATGAATGTAATAACTATCAGTTTTTTTTGCCTGCAAACTAAGGGATTTTCAGTAAAGGTGATTTGGGTAGCTGTAGAGCAGCCAGGTCACATTTACGTGACTAGTGGGTTGCGAGAAACACAGGCTGCCCCTGCTAACGTCTTCCGAAAATACATTTCTTAATCATGCATTACAGGACAGAGGATAATGTAATTCTGGTACGTTGTGTTATGCAGCTGCCTTCAGGTAATTGGACATTGGCAGACAAAGCTGTAAAACTGCCTAATATAACCCTTTCCACTCCCATCATGTTCCAGTCTTTTACTAGTGTCCTGGGAGAACAGACATCTTCACTCATCTGAGAGAAGTAAACCCTTCTGCTTTTTGTCTAGATTCCTTTTTAATTCTAGCACATTTCTAGAGTTACTACAAAGCCAGAATGGCTTATTTTGCAAATTCTGGATTGGCTAATCCTCTTAATTGCCACATAGGCCATACCCAAACCCCGCTGTGAAGACGCAGCTGGACCAGCCTGTATTGTGTAGATTGGTCCATAGCAGGCTGCAGTTCTTTCTAGGATCAGTATCCCCCTAAGGAAGCCTTTCTCAAGGCGAAACATGTTGGGGTATCCAGGGAAATACGGCCTCTGCTTCATTCATTATGAACAAGACTACTGTAATGTACTGTACTACCATCACATCATGTTTTATTTATTGACCAGTTTCTCAATCATGACAATGCGATTTTGTATTTTTCAACTTTTTTTGTGAACAATAAATTATATTTCCCCAGTCATCTTCCAGGACAGCCATCGAGATATAGGTTCCGCCTGCCTGCAACAGGAAACACATCAACCACATTAAATAAATAGACTCCTCCTTCCATCCCAAGTCAGTTTTTTTGTGTTTCCGCCGGCTACACAGGGACATCGTAATGTTTGTTGTTTTCAGGGCTCATGTTTTGTTTGCCTTAGGGCTGAGCCTACCCTGCTATGCGTTGGGACCTAGCGCTTACAGGGCTTCCCTATCGGACCCCCATCCGATTCTTGGCCAAGGTTCCCTTCCATCACTCAGGGAAGGCAACCATCCTCCTGCACGTGAGTATGCGCCAGATGGTGGCCCCCCCTGGTGTACAGCAGTGGCAAGGTGTGATGTAGGAATGCTGAGCCCAGGTTGTGGACATTGGTCTGGCAACGACAGGGGCAGCATAGGAGAGGTACAGGGAGGCTGGAGGAGTCCAGCGGTCCCGGCTACCTTGGCAGTAGGGGGCTCTTACCTGATGGTATGGAGAGCAGGGTCAGTCTGCGGCAGCGTGGAGGTGTGGGCCTCGGGCTGCGGTGTCTCTTCGCCCCTTGCTGGTGTCTGTGGTGTGAGCATGGGCTACGTCCTGGCTGGGAATCCGGCGGGTGACGTCACTGTAGGGCGCCGTCGCCGCCTGGTATACGCGCCGCGTGGTCAGAGCGATGACGCGCTTCCGGTGCGACACTTCCGGGTTTCAGAGGCTGCCTCGCGCTGGAGACGCATAAGAGCGGAGGCTCGGTTCCCACATGGTCACAGCAGACGCCGCTCGGCCACGACTACTTCAGCTGTACACCATCCATACCGACCTAGACCACATAAGACCGGTGGGGACGTCAGGAGAGGTCCGATAGCGTGGTCGGCAGTGAGCTGCAAGATGCCCATAGATGCCGGACCGGGTGCTGCTACTCCATATCTGGGAGAGCATGGCACGGGCGCTAAGGTAGGCGAGTTTTCTTTGGAGATTCTCCCCTTTCCTTTACCCGCTTGCATTGGGGGCCTGTTCACAGGGCAAGCTGGGTAGTGTTATGTATAAGATGGTTTGCATGCGGGCAGAGCACGGGCTGATGGCATCACTCTTGTCCTACGCAGTTCAAAGCCATGGAGGATAAGCCCCTCGCTGAAGCAGGTTGCTCACGCCCAAAAGGGAAGAAGTGTGCCTCTTGCTTTGCAAAAATGTCAGCTTCATGTTCCAAACCCTTGTGCAAAGTGTGTACACGACCCTCCTGGAGTTGTGTGGCAGGGCCTCTGCTTCTTCCGCCAGCGGCGGATTTGTTGATGAAGGGCCCGGTGAGACACCCGCAGGTACAAGCTTTAAATTTAGCAGCATGGCTACTGAAAGGGAGGTGTTAATCAACAAAGGATTATCCGCACGGGTGGTGACTACATTGCTGCACAGTAGAAAGCCGGTGACATCTGCCATCTACCTGAAGGTGTGGAAAGTGTTTTCCAGCTGGTACAGCAGTCAGGGTATGCCTGTGGTGGCCACAGTGCCATTGGTGTTGGATTTCCTGCAGGGCGGTTTGGACAAAGGGCTTTCCTGCAGTACTCTGAAAGTGCAGGTTTCTGCACTGTCTAATTTCGTGGACATTAGATTGGCGGAGGAGCCTCTCATCAAAAGATTTATCCGGGCAGTAGGCAGAATGAAACCCCCGAAGCGTAAGGGACTGGACCTTATGACTCAACAAGACTAGGCATTTGGCAGGAAAGTCCTGCAAGCTGTGGTCATACCCTAGGAGGTAAGATTTGTCCTCACTGATCCTCTCGATGGCTGTCCTGGAAGATGACTGGGGAAAACATGAGTTGATTACCTGATAACTCTGTTTCCAGGAATCTTCCAAGACAGCATATTCCCGCCCTTGGTGTGTATCCAGGTGGCATCCGAGGTTGGATGGAGGGGATACGTTTGTACATGGGGTAGCCTTCGGTCTTAGAGGTTACTGACTTGGGATGGAAGGAGGAGTCTATTTATTTAATGTGGTTGATATGTTTCCTGTTGCAGGCAGGCGGAGCCTATATCTCGATGGCTGTCCTGGAAGATTCCTGGAAACAGAGTTATCAGGTAATCAACTCATGTTTTTTTTACATAATATTGTGAGAGCACAAGAGTTTCTTAAAAGCCCCTCCTTTCAGGCTTTTGCATACCTGAAAGTGGTATTTATTCACGCAAGGTTATATATATCTCAGCTACAGCTTCCTTTAGACAGTCTGACTCTGTTATTCCTGGGGCTCCCCATAAGGGCCAGCATGCTTCTCATTCCACTATCTTCAGGTGAGTTTGGCAGCTCATCCTTCAAACCTATAGACTTGAGAACAAGGTTCGACCTTCCCGTCAAGGCGCCCTCCACTAGATCAGTTACTGTTTAATTGGCCTTTAAGCATAAGGCATCTGTTTCTCAAATTTGCACAGCTGCCACCTGGTCTTCTGTTTACAGGTTTATCAGTTTGACCTTCAGGATTCATCTGACGCAGATTTTGGCTGTAAAGTTTTTCAGATGGCTCTGTATGTTCTATTAGCCCCTTTGTCAACCTGTTGTTTCTTCTAGGCCTGTTAGTGTTCTGTTTGCCTGTTGTCCACCCCTCAGTTGGACTGATTTTAGACTTCCGAATATACAAGAAATACTTCATCCTGTGTATCTTAATGGATGGATGAATGAAAAAAAGTGATTTTAACTTGAAAGAGAACTATGAGGTAACCTTTTTATCCCATAATTTTCTTTAGGGTCACAAGAGGACATATACTAGCGTCCTCACGTGACCCAAAACTCAGTATATAGCGTGCTATATGGTGAGAGCGCCGCTGCCAGATTCCAACAATACCATCTAGATCCACCCCCCTGGCTTGACAGCGGGCTCTGCCTATCTAGAAGCAGGGCCAGCCATGCCTGCCCCCTCTCCCAGCCGTTCCGCAAAACAAGCGCTGAAGGAGGGGGGGGGAAATCCCTGCAGGGAGCGGTGACTGACAGTCACCGCTCTCTGCAGGAAGATGATCGGGAAGTGAGCGAGTGGTGGTATGTTTTCCACTCGCTTCCCGATCAATGTTTGCCAGTGTCCAATTACCTGAAGGCAGCTGCATAACACAATGTATCAGAATTATTTCATCCTGTCTTCATCCTCTGTCCATTAACTTAAAGGATTTTACGCTAAATTAAAAATTAAATTTTTCTGTCTGCCATGTTGACCTTCTGGCTACAATACTTTGTCTCCCTGACCAGGAGTAAGTATGCTGAAAAGAACGTCTGTACTGCTTTCCTGATTTGCAGCTCAGTAAATCTGAAAGTACTGAAGCCAAGTTCTTTTTTATTATGTTTATTAGAAATGTAGGTAATGGAGTCAGTTTTCCAAAAGGGGTCAATTTGTGCATACTGTACTGTTATTTTCTTACAGACTTTTTTCTTGAACATTAAATCAGCGCTTGTCATTTCATAGCTCAACTATTGCTTCAAATAGTCCTAAAACAGGTTTGCTTGGCTGGAGAAACTGAATCCATAGGGGACAAGCATTTGGTCTTGCAAAGTGCACCAAAGGAGGATGATCTGGCGAGCAGAACCTGATACAAACTAGGAATTTGGTCATGTAATTGATTACTGTTGGATCGATGTAGGAGGAGTTTCTCGAGTGAAGGAAACCATTTTAGGACTTTTGTTAACTTTTCTAAGACTTTTAGGGAGTCCCTGAGCAGCAAAGGGTATGACCAATATGGAGAAAGGTCTTGCTTTTAAAAATTAATGTATGTGCCATATACTAATATTGTATTGATGCTGTAAACTTTTTTTTTTTAAAGTGTATTCGTAGTGTTTACACAAGCAAGATTATCAGCAGTGACCGTGACCTTTTATCTGTGGTGTTTTTTGGTACCCGAGAAAGCAAAAATTCTGACCCGTTTAAGCACATATATGTTCTTCATGATCTGGATACACCAGGTAGGTAACTTGAAAATGCAAAAACCCTACTGGTTCTAAATACCAAGAATTTGTCAAACAGGTATCTGGTATATTTATTATATAGTAACTGACAAAAATATTCAGTGATGGATTACATTTATAAAGTAATTTTAAGTGAACCTAAAACCAGAGAGCATAATTTCAGCCTAATAATAAACACAATCTATTGACTATCCAGGTATATAATGAATAATGTTAAGTGCAAGTGCATACAAGTGCTTGCTCCTTCTTCCCACCTCCTACTGGATCCTTTCAGGCTTGCTTTAGCCATGAGAAGTGTGGTGCCTCAGGCAAAATGTTGCGAACTACAAATGGGGCATTCTTTTTCATACTGTCATAAGAATAGAGATCTGCCAGTTCACCCTACGCAGCAAAGACCAGCTAATGGGGCTATTCAGCTTCCCCAGTCTCCGTTCCGAGCTGGTTGGAGCTGCTAGGTGACAGTAGTAGAGTACCACTGCCTCCACCTTTTTGCTGCAACACTAATGTCGATCTCCCTCCAGAATCACCAACTAGACCCACACCCTGGTGTACTCCTCCATTAGAACATTGCTGCTTCTTACGCATCTCTGCTTGATCAACCAATCTTCCTCTCATCTTCACAAGCCCATTATCAAGCCAACCCATTTTGTGCAATACAGGACAACCCCGGAGACCTTCCACACACTTTGGTATGACCCAATTCGCCCCCC